GGTGACTACCCAAAACAGTCCAACAGTGAACAACTGATTTCTTTCTCAAGGTAACTTCTCAAGGCCAACACTCTAAATATACAGAAATATAGTTCCTTGATGTAAAGAACATTTCCCTTTCCATCTCTCATCTATAATGTTACCTTATATTATACATGAGATTTTCACTGGAAATACATTAGAAACCTTGGATTTGCTTTGAAGGTCAGCTGATGTCTAAGAAAGCAATGCACAACACTTGGATTTGTACAAGAGGCTAGCTTGAGGATTAAAGACCAACATGATGAAACCAAAACGAATAAAAGAAAGATCAACTTACCTGTTTGTTTCTTTCAAACCAATATATGCTTGTGCTATTTCACCTTTATCTTTCATTTTCTGTACATCTTCTAAAAGTATTGTGGAATCTGTCATCGTATTCTGAAGGGGGAGAAGACACATTTCCACATTAAGACAACTCAAAAGCTTTGGACCACAGACAGCATTTTTCTTTACTCCAGAATAGGGGGTTTCCATGTTGCACAACACCTCTGCCCCACCAGAGCTTCAGTCCTACCCCGGCGCAACTACAGAGGAGACTGAGGCACAGGCACTGAGAAAAAGAGGCATTTTCAGTCTCTCTCTTGAGAATCCCTAATGCTCTACTACAAAGGTGGTACAATTCTAGAGTAAATAAAATCACTGATGGGTCATGTGTGTTTTACACTATGTGAAATATATATATACATATATATATATATATATATATGTATATATATATTCAGTGTCCTTGCTTGGTTATTGTTCCAATGCTGTGTATATGCTTTTAAATATATATCCATATATCTATGTATCTATATCTGTAAGTATAAAGTACATAGTATATAGGCAATAATACTGAGCAAAGAGTCAATGGAATATACAAAGCTATCTTTCTACTACTTATGGACCAATTATAATAAAACAAATGCTCTAATAAACACTAGAAGTTTAACATAAAGCTCCTTTTTCTATTAAAAACTCAGTATACAAAAAGTAGTGTTTAGATGACATGCTTCAGCAAACAAGTTTTTTTCCTCACATCTTTAGATATATATAAATGGGAAGGATTTAGCTCCTTGTAAATATCTACCATCTGCTGTTATTCAGTTCTTTTTTCCTCTCTTACAGTAGAGCATGGTACTTAAGCTTTTGAAATAAACATCTGGCAGGTCAGAATTACTAACGATTTTTATGGAAAAGACTTCTCTGCTAACATTTTTTTCGCTTTTCCTTTCTGGTCTAATCTGTCTGACAACCAATGCAATTTCAAAATCTTGCTTCTAGTCAGCCACTCTCTCTCTCTTCTAAGCCGGGGCAAGAACAGACAGTAAGAACAACTGCTCTGTAGCCTCTAAAGAACAGTACACTTTAGGGCGGTGGCCATACCTCAGTGGTAGAGCGCATGCTTAACAGGCATGAAGTCCTGGGTTCAATCCCCAGTACCTCCAACCAAAAAAAAAAAATAGTACACTTTAGAACCCAAGGGGCCCATTCTATTTGTCTAAATAGTATATAGCTGATCCTTTAGTCAACATTTACTCTAAAGCCGGGTCTCACAGAGAAGTTGAAATAACAGAATACACTTCAAATACCATGATCTTAGAGACCAGTTCCAAGATAACTTTAATGCCAGTTAGAGACCCACAAATAGTTGCTTTTGAATTTCAAAGTTTATAAGAAACATACTTTTAAAAAAAAATCTCACTTTTATCCTAATGCTGTCCTTTTGTGACTTTATAAATGCACACTTAGAGAAGACAAAACATAATCCGATAAAAGCTATAAACAAGAGCCTATATTTTACTGAATTTTTAAAATCTTTACTATAAACACCACATACAGCAGTTCTTCAAGTAAGTTTTATAAATATTTGAGTGCACATTTCAAAAAAGAAAATTTCTTTTTTCTCTTTTATTGAAAGGCAGACAATCTTTTTGTTCTATTCAGGGCCACACTGGGATTTTTAAGTTTTAAATAATAATTCAAAGAATCAGTTTCTATAATAAATAATGCTACATGTATTCTCTGATACCTGAGGATCTACACGAGGTGGTTTTGAACTTTCAGTGAACAAGGTAACTTGATCTAATGAACTAATCCACAAGAAAGGTGGTAGAAAGCAGCCAGTCCTTCCCTTACTCAGCCTACCTTAGCTAAGAAGCAGTAGCCGGGGCATGGGAGCAAACTTGGACTGCCGGCACTGGGAATGTCCTGACTCACTGCTCAAAGCGTCTCCACCAAGACAGTGACCAGAAGTTCTGAAAGGGTTGCACCACGTAGGAAAATCCCACCCTTCCCAGGAAGGGTGTGCTGGGCTCCTCAGGCTCCTCCTCGCCCTTGGCCAACAAACCCACAGCTGGTAGAAATGAGTGTGGGAGAGCCTGTGCTTCCGGTGTGCTCCAAGTTAAGGGCTTCCCCCCCTCACTTGAGGATGTCTTCCCAGAACTACCACTGTGAGTCACAGATCTGACTGTCAGCTAGAAGTCACGGAGGCCTCTCCATGATCCAGACCAGAGCCTATGGCATCCATTATCTTCCCACTGACCTCTCAAATAGGGAGAAGTCAAATAGGAAATTACCTTGTAAATATCAAAATGACTTGGAGGCCAGAAAGCATCAGTTGCATATATTGGGGCAGACTTATAAACTATTAGGATTAAATAAAAGTATTACTAAAATTAAAAAAATTATAATTACCTTGTCATCCTGAAAATCACAAGTCAGCAAGCACAAAAAAAACAAGAAAAACACAAATGGAGAAAACAATAAACCCTTAGTTTCATAAATAAATTCCATCAATGAGTCCCCATCAGAACAGATAAAAGCAAACAATGAAAACAACCGTGACTTTTTCTCCTAAAACCAACCTGGTAAATAAATCAGTATCCACAGAACCGGCATGAAGTGCACAGGAATATATATTTATGTAATGGTATCTCTTAATTCTCAGGAATAAGCTCTTAAAATTTTTTTGAGTTGTTTTCATTTTTCTAATTATAAAGTGTTGGTGAGGATGTGAGAAAATGACCCTCCTGTTAATCTATCTGGGTGAAATTCTTATCCTAGGTCTAGGAGTTCTAGTAATGCCTTGATAGGTTACGGGTCTGAGTGAAGCCTCCCAGAATACTTGTGGAGGCGAAGCAGGCAAACTAGACGTGGCTGGGCTGGATCATTATCTGGCTCACGATGTCACTCACCACTGCCCTGCAAGGAAATTGTGAAATGACAGAAATGGAGTGGGACCTATAGTCCTGGGTTTGAAAGGTCTTAATCAGTGTCCTGGGCATTTTTCCTAAGACAGAATGAGCTGATGCTATGTGCAGGCTGGGAGCTTAGCAGGGACCTTGATTAGATGGGGCCAGCCCATTAGGGGCTGGAGAGAAGCTGTCACCTGGAGCATGTGAGATGGGTGGGTGAGAGTGTGTGATATCAGAACTACGTGAGCTGGATTGTTTTTAATATTCCTCTTTCATTTTTCTTTCCATTAACTTTTACTAAAGTTTCCTGTGAGAATACCAGTTCTCACAGGGAACCAGGGCAAGGAATCCTAATTTTGGACTCTGCTCCAGCTAGCATGCAGAGGGAGCCTTGTCTCTCGAGGACAAATCACAGTGGTCGTCATGGGAACCAAATGGAGCCAGCCTCTGGGAAGGTGAGATGCACAGGGCTGGGTCAAAGGAGAGAGTCCCCTTCTGGAACCCTTCTCATTTCAGACTTAAAGGGTGTGCAATGTGTTTTAAAATAAGGAAGTCCATTTTTTTTTAACATAACTCCACTTATTACTGGGATTTTCCTGCCTCCCTCCCCAAGGTTATTGAGTCAGATATCTTGTTTCCAGAATTGGATATTTTCAGGATCAGTGCTGATCCCAGGTGTGAGCTGCCGTTATCAAACACAAATGTTATGTGCCAGGCTGGGTATCTTAGTCCCATGCAGACCCACCATTTCCAAGAGAAGTGCTCTCAGATCTTGCAGGCATCCCATTCATTATATATCACAGTCTTTTAAAAATTGAATTATATTGACATACAACATTGCATTAGCTTCATTTGTACAACATAGTGACTTGATAGTTTTACACATTATGGAATGATCACCAGGATAAGTCTAGTTACCATCTGTCACCATATAGAGTTATCATCGTGTCACTGACCATATTCCCTATGCTGTACATTACATCCCTGGGACTTGTTTTAACTGGAAGTTTATACCTCTTAATCCCCCTCACCTATTTCACCCAACTCCCTTCCCCCTTCCTCTCTTGCAACCACTAGTCTATTCTTTATATCTATGAGCCTGCTTCTGTTTTATTTTTTAGATTCCACATAAAAGTGAAATAACATGGTATGTGTCTTTCTCTGTCTGACCTACAGTCATTTTTTTATGTGGCTTGTTGTGCAGCTGGGATACTTGATTGCCTAATTCTCGGTAACACTTTGATGCATTAACATGGGCAGAGACACTGACCAGGTTTCAAGATGATTACTAAGACTCCCTCTGATGTCAAATGACAAAAAGGCCCATTTCTCACCAACACATGGCAGTGTTGGATCTCAAATTTCCGGAGGGCAGGGAAGGACTTCAAAGGGCCGTCTATCTCCTCCAGTATGGATACTTTCTGTGCAATCACTAAACACAGCCCCTCCCTGCTGAGACAGCTCCCATTATTAAAGAGAACTCCCTGGAGGGAGCAGAAATCCTCTCCCCGTAAATTCTATTCACTGATCTCATTTCTCACCTTTTCATGTGCCACCTCTCTGGTTAAACAGGCTATTTTCAACAAATATTTTTAAACTGTATTTAATGTTTTCCCATAGCAAGGCAATTAATGGATCTTTGTATTTAATAGCATTTTATTTTTGATCAGAATTTATCATGGCCAGATTACTACAAAAATATTAATTTCAAAAGCCCTTTGCTCATGAGTGAGGGGTCAAACTTTGGAGAGCATTTAGGATTTCACTTGCTTTTTGCTCACTTCCATTGGTATTTGCAATAGTTTTAAAACAACACTGAGTTGTTTTTTTTAATGATGATATCCTCAATTAGACTAAAAACGCTCCTAAGTGTTTGCTTCGTTATAAATTGGAGGGCAAGGATACGAAGAAAGATGCCAGTCCCCAAACACCCACTTTGGCCCCTTGCTCAAGCTTACCTTGGGTTGGATGGCCTCTTTCTGGCTCACCAGCTGAGACCTCAAGATGAGGACTTCTTCCTTGCGGACATCGAGCTCCTCACTCACAGAGGTCAGCTGCTCCATGAGGACTCGGTAGGCTGGTGCCCCTGGAGCGGTCACCTCTGGGGCACTTTTCTCACTAAGGGCCTTGCGTAACTCATTCAGTTCATTTTTCAGCTTCTTGTTTTCTGATTCTAGTTCTTGACGCTGTATGAAGAGGCAAAGAATAGTTCATCACTGTCATCCTCAGCTTTACATCGGAATGCTTATCTTCTCCAGAGACAGTAGACGAATTCTACTGGAAAAGATCCTCAGAGCTACCCTAGTGATGGGCTCCCCTGGTTCTACTGGGAACCCTGCTCTGCAAATTAAGAAAGTCAACATCAAGTGGAATTGAGCAATGTGAATGGCAGTGTGGTTCATCAACCCAAATTCCAGGGCCACATTTATTCCAGGCCTGCCCAGGGTGTGTTCACAGGCCTGGAGAGACTGCTGAGTCCCAAGGGGTGAGTTTAGCCCAGCCCTAAGAAGTCCAGGTTTTTTATGGATAAATATAAGGGCAAGTATAAGGGTCCAGCTGGTCAGGTTATTTGCAATGAGTGGCCCAGCAGAGCAGATCCCTGAAATCTTGAGTAATATCCTCTATTTCCTTTGTAAAGCAGAAGGGAAAGACCACTGAAATTTTAGGCTTTTAACTTCTAATAAAAAGATTATGTATCATTTAAACCAATAAAATTCTCTACAGTGTTTTGATAATAACAAACAATATACTTCTGCAACTTCTTTCCTGTGTGACATGCTTGTGAAGCTGCTGGCAGAAGCCTTGAGAAGTGGGAGGACAGGATGGGCCACTTCTTCCTTCATCCAGATGGACACACACATCCTTTACCCTCTCTACACTTCCACATACTACCGACCATCCTCACGTCACCAGTTAGCGCTGCCCTTTGTATGCTCTGCTCAAATGGGAACCCAGGACAGAGTTCTGACACTAAACACTATTTACTGACACTAAAATGCAACGTCAGAGGAGACTGGCTGGGAAATAGTGAAGCAGACAGGCATTTAAGAGCACCATGCTGATTTATCTAGCACATGGCCTTAAGGCCTTATGACAGTGCAAGTGAGACAATTTGGTGTAATGATAAAATATTCTACTGTTTCTTCCAGAGAAGCATTCTTGGTTTTGTAGCACATCTCAGAACTTTGAACCTGTTATAGTAAGACTAAAGTCCTTGTTTTCTTCTAGTTTAAGAATATATAACCCTTTCTTTCATGAATTAATCCATTCTTATGTGAAAATGAATGCTCCTTCCTATTTCCAATTTCCCATCAGCTGGTAATCAGATTTGCATTGCTCATTTCTGCAACAGGAAACATGAATGTCTTTACTTTGACACCTAAGTGCTGATGCAGGGTTTCCTAAACTTTAATGTGCATCAGAATCACCTGGAGGACAGATGGCCTGGCTCCACCCTCCAGAGTTTCTGATTCAATAGGTCTGGTTTGAGGCCGACACATTTGCATTTCCAACAAGTTTCAAGATGATGTTGATGCAGCTGGTCCAGGGACCACATTTTGACAAACACTAAGCTAACTGGGGATTTTGTGATCTGGGCTTCATTTTTAACCTACTATAGAGAATGTTTTTACTTGTCTATTTTTGTGTGAGGCAGGCTGAGGGAAAAGATCTGGAGATCAGATTCCACCCCATTCCTTGGCCTGTCCCATCCCATTCCATCCCATTCTCGTCTTGTATGACCATATCATCGTTTGGTCTTCTAGAAAGAGCAGAAAAGGCAATGGAGAGACAACCCTTTGCTGCCACCCTTTTCTTTTCCCACAGACATAAATACTACCCAAGTAGTACTTCCACTGAAGGAGCGAAAGATTTATCATGTCATAATTTAGGAAGGGTAAAAGGGTCCTTCAGGGTATTTTAAAAGTAAATATTATATTTGGGGGTAAAAACTAGTTTTCAAACAAGTAATGATAGGAACCTAGGGTGTTTAGGAAGATTTCTATTGTCTGGAGACCTGGATTCAAAATCAGATTTTACCAACTGGTAGTAAACATCTTAACAGTTCTAAACCTCAGTTTATTCATTTTTGAAAAGGAAATTAAAAACTTATCTCAGAAGTTGTGACAATGACTAAATAAGATACAGTATAAAGAAAACTTTTCAAACTGTAAGGTAAATGCTAAGTCTTATCAGTCAGGAGTTTATTAAGTATCAGTGGAAGTGTTCTAACTATCTTCAGGGGAAGGAGCTGATCAAAGAACTACAGCTTTGGTCAGGGTACTGGACAGACATTCTCTATACCAACGTGCCATACAGCCTGGAGAGGAAGCACTGATCAGCATTTCTGGACTACAGGACGTGGGAAATTCACAGAAGACAGGGTCCTATTAACGTGCATAAATTATGTCCCAAATCACAGTATTAGGAAATAATATATCCAACTAGACTTAAAGTAATATTAATGAAAACAACGCAAAACTTCATGACAATTTAGACCCCAAGAATTCTTAAATATACCTAACAGCTTTAAAATAATGAATTTCCTTGTGTTGTTTTGTGGCTTTTCTAATCTTTAGCCATTCTAGACTATAGTCTGCAAAAGCAAAAAAGGTTTAAAAATTGACATGAACAGAAAATATATGAGAAAAATACATTTAAGACTAATAAACTCATTAGTAACCTAGGAAACTTAAAGCTGGGGGTGACTTGATAGCTGACAATCTGATAGTTCAGACTTCGAGGAGCTCAAAATTTTGATTCTGGAAAGCAGAAGAAGGAGCCAGGTGGGGCACAGCCTGCTCTGAATCAAGGGATGGGACATTTTATTTTCCTCCCTTTAACTACATTTCTCATGTTACCCAAGATGCTTTGTATTTCAGGAACTACTGTTCCTAACCAGTGCCTTTTCCCGTGCTCATCTGCTCTGGTCACACAGCGGCAGCTCATCCCTGTCCAGTTAGATGTTGGCCTTTAACTATTAAGAAGATACAACTTCCTGCCTCCATCCTCCTCCCTCCAATTATTTTTTAAAAGGTATGCTAGAATGTTTCTTCTCTGCAAACTAATACCTAGCTGTCTTTCTCTACAGACATATAGTTTCACTGGGGTTTGGTGGTTAGAGCATGGGGTTTGGAACCGGAGAAACCTATGTTCAAATCCTGTTCCTGTCAGTTTCTAGTGGGGTCACCTTAGGTAAGTTACTTATATTTTTTAGCGTCAATTTCTTCATCTATAAAATGGGTAGAATGCTTACTCGCAGGATTGTTGCTAAGAATTAAAGCATATATTTAAGTGCTTGTATTTAAAAGGACGACGATGAGAGCTGCCAACATGTGGTGGGTACTTAGTATGTGCTGGGCAATGTTTTAAGTAGCTTACATGAAATACTTCATATAATTCTACAGACAGTTCTGTGAGATAAATATTATCATTATTCCCATTGTATAGATAAGAAAACCAAGGCACAGAGAGAATGTATAACTTCCATAAGGCTACATAGCAGCAGATCTGGCATTTGAACCCAGGCAGTCTGACACTAGGGGCTATGTCCTTTACTACCTTCTCTAGCCTCCAATGGCAGCTGCTGCTCCTTCTTCTGCTTAGACTGAACTCTAGCTTGTATGAAAGAGAATCCAAAAAAGGAAACAAATCAAGGCTAGAAGTAATGCCTGAATAAGGCTTAAGCTAGGGCCTTCAGTGGCCTTAAGGACGTTCTCTGAGAAAAAGAGGCACTGAGTGGGTCTCTTGCCAAAACAAGATATTCAAGTCTTGGGCAGGAACTTCCCATTACCTTGAGTGACTCATATTCTAGTTCAGCACCTCTAATTTGTGGTTTTTCTTCTTCCTAAGGAAAAAACACAGAGTTAAAAAAACCTTGTAAATAAGTAGTTATATTTTAATTGTCACATTTTTACTCTTGGACTATTTCCTTGCTCTGCAGAAACAGTGGGGAGAGTTTAGCCCTCATCACCTGAACCAAATGCTGCTTGGCTGAAGTACTGCTAGACTGAGTTTCCACTAAAGAAGAGACCGTAAAACTTGCTTTGCCGCGGCCCACGGGTGGGAGAGCACCACGCACCTTTGCCTTACTGCGGAGCATCTGCTCCTCCTTGCGGTCCAGCTCATCCTGCATCACCTGCTTCTCCTGCTCCAGCTCTGTGACCCGCTTCTGGAGCTTGAGGAACAACGACATGTCCAGAGGCACCTTCTTCTCACTTGGTTCCTAAACCCCAGATATCACAATGGTCAAGATGATTCGGAAGATGTACAAGCCAACGAGAAAATGATCAACAGCCAGAGAAACAGGCAAACTTACAGGAGAAATAGAAATGCCCAAAGAATAAACAAGTAACATGTCCAATCAGCTAATAAATGGAGAAATGCAAATTAAACAATGGTGATGTACTACTTTTCCCTTATTAGACTGGCAAAGACTGAAAGGATTAATAAGGCCATGTATTGGTATCATTGTCTTATATGATATTATTGGAAATAGAGGTAAGCCTTTTAAAAAGGCAAGTTAGCTGTGTTTGTTAAGATTTAAGTATGTATAGCCTTTAACCTAGCAATCTTTGTTTAAGAAGCAATTCTACAGAAATACACAAATACACACAAAATATATGGGAAAAGGTGTTCACTGCGGCATTTTTAGTAACTGCCAAAAAGTGAAAAGAACCTGAATGTTGGTCAATAGAAGAACTGCTTAAATAAATTATGGTATAGTCACACTCTGAAATACTTAATAGTTGTTAAAAAGAATGAGGTGGATCTACATGAGTACATAAATTGCTCTAGATAAAAGTATTAAGTGAAATACACAAGCTGCAGTATAATATTTATATTATGATCTTATTTTTGTTAAAAAAAAACACATGACTTAAATATAACTAGCAAAAGGCATACAAAAATCTAGAAGGCCATCAATGGTTATCTTAGATAATGGGAGGTGCTGTGGGAAAGTTTCACTTTCTACTTTGTACATTTGTACATTTGAATTGTTTACAATGAGCATGTACTAGTTTTGTGATTAGGAAAAATTATTTTTGAAAAGGTGAAATACTAGCATAAATATCCTGAGGTCAGACACAGAGAAAACTAAAAAAACAAAACATAGATAGCCCTTAATAAAATGAAAGGTAACCGAGTAGCATTTTAAAAGCATGTTAATTGGTTCTAAAACAGAATCACAGTGAGAACTATTAGGATAAAGATACACTAACAAAGGTAAGTAGAATGAAAAACTAACCACCATCATGGACATTTTGAGCGTGTCATGATTGTTTTACCTTGTTACGTCAGGTCTGAACTTTTAAATAAGGTAAGAAGAGAAAGAATTGTATCTTTAGATTTAATGGAGAGGATAAAGAGTCTCTTTTTGTAAGAGAGAGAGAATGGTAATAATAACTTATTTATTTAATTAAACGGTCAAAGTATAATTCTTAACTGATCAGTAAATATTATATATCCAATTGTCAATTTAAAAAATTTCTTTCTCTGACATAAAAGCAAAGTAAGCTTTTATAGAAAACTTAAGAAATAAGAAAAGTACAAAGAAGGAAAGTGCAGGTATAATCTCATATCCAGAGAAAACCCACAATGTTTGTCCAGTCTTTTTCCTATAAACTTAAAGAACTGGAATAATATTTTCATCATAATTATGTGTTATCTTTTAAAATTAGGTTTGTATTCTAATTATTTTCCAAATTTACAATATATTTGAAAACAATTTTTAATGGCTGTATTGACATGTGTACCACCATTTGCTCATCTTACTGATGAGCATTGAGAGTGTTTCTAATTTCTTGCTATTGAAATATGTTAAAATAAACATCCTAGGACATACCTATCTAAACATTAACATTTTTAAGTATATGAAATTGGTTGGGCCTGTTTATACTTGCATCAGCAACCATCATCTTTCTTGGAACAGCAATGACTGTTACCATTAAAAAAAAAGGCTCAGCTGATAGATCAGTAGTGGTATTTCATTACTGTTTCATTTACATTTCTTTGCCTTTTGATGAGGTTGAATAATTAGCATATTCATTAGCATTCTTTGGTCTTTTGTGAACTCTTAGCAGGGCCAAGTTCAGTATTATTCAAGTTCTGAAAAAACACCTAAGAAGAATGAACTAAACTAAGAAGTGGGGCATTTATAGGCTGTCAGGGTCGCTTATCTACAAGCTAGTTAGACCTGGACTTTTTCTTACCATCCACTTTTGTAATGCTCAACAGTAAGAAAAAGTTTAGGTATATGATCTTCACCATAAAATCTGGCCTGACTTAGCAGAACAGAGGTATCATCCGGCCTGAATATGAAATTACTACAGAATTTCAGTCATGTAAAAACTCATTTCTATATATCCCACAAATACTTATATTTTAGTTCATTTATAATGTAAACATTCCATCAAATGTGTTTTAATGTTTGTTCATCTATTAATGATGTGTCCCTGAAGTTTTTAATTATTTAATCCCTTTTTATACCATAATAGAAGCCTTCATCCTATGAATGAATATAGTAGTTCACTCATTGTACCTAAACTGTCATCATTTGGGAATCATTCTTCTCAGCCATGAGTGGGCATTTTTGTTGAAAAAGGAACCCTCTTATTAAAATGGGGTGACTCCTTAGATATCAGCTAATACTACATAAAGAATTGGTTAACTGCTATAGATAAGCACAGAATTCTATAGATGGGAATATTAAGATAGGAGACAGAACACAAACTGTAACACTTGACAACTGCAAAATTATTTGAGGCATAACGATTGGTAATGATTTAAGAGTACTCTGAATGGTGACCATTCTTATCCCTAATGACACGTACAGTTAAATAGATACTGTCCCCTCTACACCACATGCATGAGAAGGAAGACTGGACCATCTGGCTCAGAGAAGAGTCTGGGGTTTTGTTTTATTTTCCTTCCTTTTTAAGGACTTTATCATCTGGAGCTTTTCCAAGAAAGTGGAGCTTTCGCTGAACTAAAAAACAACAGTCTTTCATTTGAGGAAAATCAGTTAGATAACAGAATGTATTTATAAAATTACCACCACAGGCCTGGCAGTCATCCTAGGATCATTGCTAACAAGAGCTGAGAAAGTTGCAGCGATGCTTTCCCTGGATTTGACAGGTGTGAGGGAGCTCGAGAGCAGAAGCAGAACTGAGATAATTAGTGCTACTAAGACAGGGGCCTGGCAGAGCAGGGAGAAGCAATGGTTCCAAGAAAGGAATCAGACCACGAAGATGATGGAGGTGTGGGAGGGCTGCAAAGCAGGAGGAGCTGGTCGGTGCATTCTCCAGGGACTTCTCTGGAGCAAAGAAGGCACCATCGTGGCTTGTGAACGCCAAACCACGGGTTTGGCAAAACTAGAGACATTAATTCTTTTTTTTTTTAAACACCAAATTTTGCTATTTTTTGCTGTTACTATTACATGACTGAGGTTGGAATTCTGTGTCCCAAAACTGCCTATCTATTTTAATTTTTAAGAAATCAATTCATAAACAAGACTGGTTCCTTTAGTTTCCTGGCACTGGATTCTAAAAGTGTTTCTTTGGAATATTACACATAGGAATTGAAAGTTTTCCTTTAGTTTATAAGCGGCAATTTGTAAACCTGGCAGGTTCAGAGGCAGGGGCAGGAAGAAATGCAAACCTGGAGGTCATAAGTAATTAGAAGTACAAAGGCACAGCCACAGTCGCAGTCTGATTCATCTCTCCTGCCCAACTTCCCTTTTGAGAATCAATCTCTTTCCCTATTACCAGTTGTATAGATTTCCATCTTTCAGCTCCTGACCACGCCCAGTCAGAACTGTAGCGTGGTCACTGGAAGCCTGTTCATCAGAGCAAAAACATTTACTTATTGAACACTTGCTATGTGTCACTGTTGCAAGTGTTTTGTAAAAATTAACTCATTCAATCTTCAAAAGACTCTTACAAAGTAAGATAATAATAGCACCATTGCCTCACAGATGAGGAAACTGAGACACAGAGAGACTCAGGCTAACATCATGGACACATTCCAAGGAAGAGAGTTACTGTAATCTGTCCCACGGTAAAGACAGCACTCCTAACCAAAGCCAGCCCCACCTCAGATGCATGTACTCAGTCACGAGGAACCAGGACGACTAGTTCGGTGAACAGCCTTCCTCATCACTGAGAGAAGACCTCCAGATCATGACCTGCTGCTGGTGGTCAGTGCGTGTGAAGGGCAGTAACAACACTCTAAGATCTGCCTGTGATTTCTGGAGTAAAATTCATACTTCGTTATTTAAAAAAACAAAAATGTACTAAATCTCACTCTAATCTATCGCTTAACTTGAAAAAAGACTTAACAGAAAACAAGTGAGAATTAGAAATGAAAAGTTACTCCTCCCCTCAAATCTGCAAGAATTTGAGGAAAACTTGAAAAGAGCAGAAACTGACAAAAAAAAAATGTTGCTAGTAAATATTAGGTAAAGCATGCAAGAGTTTTTGAGTTTAAAAATTAATATTCTCAATCAAAACTACCAACAAGAGGCCTCTTTGCCCTGAGTCCAACACAACACAATCCGCAGCAAACACACCCTCTTTGTCAGGCTTCTCCCTCCCAAGCAGAGGCTGCTCAAGTGGTGCTACACTGACATGGAAAGTTCATAAACCCACTTTCTTCGGACTACGGGGAGTAAGCACTCCAATTGAGACAAACAGAATGCAACCCTAAAACCTTCATATCCGCTAGAGGCTCAGAAGTTATCATTTTAAATCTTCAAAGTCTGATTGTGTGGTAGCCTCCAAAGACAGCCACCAACGATTCCTCCCAACACAAATGACTTTCTTTTCATTAAGAGCTGGAGTCTGTTCCCCTCCTTTGAATGGGGGCTGGCTGTGGACTCTGCTTTGACCATAGAATGTGGCAGAGCTGACACTGTGCCAGTTCTGGGCCTGGCATCTTCTGCCCTTTCACCCTTAGAACCCACTCACCACACTGCTGAAGAGGGGACCCACATGGAGAGGCCCAAGGAAGAGAACCTCACACCCAGCTGAATGCAGGGAGGCACTCCAATCAACACCATGGGGCAGGGGGGAATAGGGGGCAGAAGAACCACTCAGTCAAAACCCAAAGAATTGTGAGCAATAATAAATTCCTAGAGTGTAAAACCACTAAATTAGGGGTGGTTTATTGCACAGCAATAGATGACTGGAACAATCTTTGCCGTGCTACACACTGGTCGTACTGCTGTGTCAATGGTTCCCAAACTAATGCCAGCTGCAGACAGAAATGGGGCTGGAGGACTGCAGTGTAGACCCCCTGGGTGGGAGGAGGGAGAGTGTGGAGGTCTGAAGAGACAAGCCTCAGTTAGAATCCCGGCTCCGCCACTTACTAGCTGTGACCTCGGGCCAGTAACTCAGCCCTCTTGTATGTATGATTCCAATGACATGACGTTCCAACTATGTGACACTTCTTTAAAAAATGAACAAAATGAGATGGAGAAACTTTTCATTCTTAAGTTAAACTAAGATAAGAAAGGAAAGAATCATTTAATTTTCTTCATCTGTTCTGCCAGAAGCAGTCTCTTCCTGACTTGGCCATTTTCTAAGAATATGACATAAAAATAGATGGGTTGTACCTGAATTACCTATTACAGAAACTAATATTACATTTGAAAAGAAGATCAGAGAATTGGTCTGGAAACAACCTAACAAAGTCACTGGACTCTTGGAGTTACATTAATGTGTCATTTTGATCTCATACTATGTAACATAAAACACTAAGGCAGATTTATAAGCTGTTTCTCATGCATTTTTGTGGGAGGGAATTTGTTGGTAAAAACTGTCATCAGATAGGCAGCAGTTTTGCTAAACTCTTAGGCATTGGTACTTATAATATTCTAGGACAAAGGGATTACTTTTAAAATAAATTACCTCGGTCGGAAATAAATTCATGACAGGCCATATTTTTTACATATAGAATATGTTAAGGTGCAAAAGGGAGTTGCAAAAGGGGAAATCTGGTCCTCAAAATTACACTAAAAATCAAAATTAAAATGTCTTCTGACAAAAAATATATGCAATCAGTGTGTATGTACACAGCTAGTTAAGCACCTGTAAGTCATTTATGAAGAATAAGCAGTTCAAAACAAGTGTTATGTTGATGGACACATGGGGTCTTCTCTGGAATAGAAATGTTCTCTGTTAATAGCAGCATGCTCACATCCTACTTTTATTGACAGGTGTCTCAAAGGTACCTCGGTCCTTGATGGGATGTCTTCTGTTTCTGCAATTTCAGAGCTAAAGGTGTATTCGGACTCATTGCTACTGTGGGTGGAGTCTGTTCTCTTATGTCCAGGCTTAGGCACATTCTGCAAGATAAATAGCCAGAAAGAGTTAACACAACATAATTAAATAATTAAACCAGGCATAGTTAAGCCAGCGTTCACCTTAACTTGGTTCTAATCTCCACTCACTGACTCGCTGTTCTCATGCCCATATGGTCTGCTCCATCTTGACAAACTCCTACAGAAGAGTCACCTTCTGAGCTCCTCAAAGAAGGAGAAAGATGCACCAGGAGGGCATGGTGAGCACAGTCACAAAGCGAAATGCTTGAATGAAAACCATCTGTGATCATTGGCAGAGTCCCCTTGGGTTTTTTAAGTTGTGAGTGGCCAGTCACACCGGGTGACAGACAGGTATGATGCCTCCACATCCAAGCTCTGACATCCGAGTTGCAATCAGATAAAACATAGGATATGTCTAACGCCAGCATAATCATTTTACTGCACTGTATGTGGGCATAAATGGTTAAAATAAAAGGAGGGGTAGGGGTTCCCACATAGGTGACTACAATTTCTATTAGTTTTATGCAGGAAGTTGAATCTCTGGAGTCAGCAGTGGGAAGGATTAGCGTGCAGGAGAGGTAAGAAAGCTGTTGACGAATCCTGGGAAGATCCTTGGATTATTAACTCAGAAAGTCCAGGTGACACTTTTATGACATGTAGTACCTATCAGTTAGTGTTCAGAAAGCTTGTGGGGAACAGAATAAGGAATCACAGTCTTTTTCTTTCTGTAGGAGAAGAGATTAGAGAATGACTTGGAGGAAGAGGAATAAGAAGGCTGGGTTTGAGCCCCTCACTCCTAGAGAGCCCCAACAGGAGAGGTGGAGAGGTTCAGTGGCCTGGATCTTGCAGGTTACAAATCCTGAGAGCTTCAGAAAGGCCTCTGATCTTTCTGATCTGTCCACTTTCCTTGACTCCTTCCCAGGTGCAGGAAAAGAGCCAGAAGCCACAAAGTGCTTCTTTGCCTCTTTCCTCCCAACATCCAGGCTTATAGAAAATAAACCCATCTGTACAACCACAAGGAAGCCAGACTCCAGGGGCAGCTTTTCCAACAGCAGTGCATGAGGGTTCCCTTTTTACTACATCCTTGCCAGCACTTGTTATTTGCTGTCTTTTTAAGAATAACCACTCAGAGAGGTGTGAAGTAATATCTCATTGTGTTTTTAATTTACATTTCCCTGAAGATTAGCAATGTTGAACATCTTTTCATGTGGTCTGTTGGCCATCTGTATGTCTTCTTTGGGAAAATGTCTATTCAGATTTTCTATTCATTTTTTAATCAGGTCATTTGTTTCTGATTTGAGTTGTACGAGTTCTTTGTATATTTTGGATAATAACTCCTTATTAGATATATTGTTTGCAAATATGTTCTCTGATTCAGTAGGCTGCTTTTTCATTTTGTTGATAGTTTCTTTCACGTGAAAAAACTTTTTAGTTTGGTGTAGCCCCAGTATTTTTATTCTTTATATTTGTTTTTGTTTCCCTTGTCTGAGGAGACAGATACACAAAAATATTGCTGAGACACATGTCAAAGAATGTACTATGTTTTCTTCTAAAAGTTTTATTGCTTCAGATCTTATTACATTTTAGGTCTTTAATCTATTTTGAGTTTATTTTTATAAACAGTGTGAGAAAGGAGTCCAATTTAATTCTTTTGCATGTAGCTGTCCAGCTTTTCCAACACCATTTATTGAAGAGACTGTCTTTCCCCCTTGTATTTTCTTGCCTCCTCCATTGTAGATTAACTGACAGTGTAACTGTGGGTTCATTTCTGGGCTCTATTCTGTTCCATTGGTTGATGTCTCTGTGCCAGGACCATGCTGTTTTGATGACTGTAAGTTTGTGATACAGTTTGAAACCAGGCAGCATGATACCTCCTGTCTTGTTTCTCTTTCTCAAGATTGTCTTGGCTGTTTGGGGTCTTCTGTGTCTCCATACATATTTTAGAGTTACTTGTTCTAGTTCTGTGAAAAATGCCATTCGTACTTTGACAGGGATCACACTGAATCTGTAGATTGCCTTGGGGAGTACTGTCATTTTAGCAATATTATTTCCTCCAATCCAAGAGCACAGTATCTACAAGCACAGTTTATTTTTTCATTTGTTTGCGTGGTCTTCAATTTCTTTCATCAGTGTGTTACAGCTTTCCAAGTATAGGTCTTCTGCCTCCTTAGTTGAAATTATTACTAGGTATTTTATTGTTTTTGATGTGATTGTAAATGGGATTTTTTAAATTTCTTTTTCTGACAGTTCCTTTATTAATGTACAGAAACACAACAGATTTCTGTATATTAATTTTGTATCCTTCAACTTTACTGAATTCGTTTATAAGTTCTAATAGTTTCTTGGTGGTGTCTTTAGGATTTACTATATATGGTATCATATCACCTGTAAACAGTGACAGTTTTGCTTCTTCTTTTCCAATTTGGATTCCTTTTATGTCTTTTTCTTCTCTAATTGCTGTGGCTAGGACTTCCAACACTATGTTGAATAAAAGTAGCAAGAATGGGCATCTTTGTCTTGCTCCTGATCTTAGAAATGCTTTCAGATTTTCACCATTCAGTGTGATGCTGACAGTACGTTTGTCATACATGACCTTTATTATGTAGAGGTAGGTTTCCTCTATATCCACTTTGTTGAGTGTTTTTTAATCATAAATGGATGTTGAATTTTGTCAAAAGTTACCCATTCTGCGGCTCTATGTCTTTTGATTAGAGCACTCAGTCTATTTACATTGAAAGTAATTATTGATAGGTATGTACCTATTGCCATTTTGTTAGTTGTTTTCTGTTGTTGTTTTTGTTTTGATCCTTTCTTTTGCTCTTTTCCTTTGTGACTTGATGACTATCTATAGTGCTATATGTTTCTTTTTGTGTGTGTATCTATCTATTATATGTTTGTGGTTACAATGAGGTTCACACAGACAACATATAATAATAATGATGATAATAATAATAATATCACATATGTGATTATTTAAATTTGATGATCTCAAGTTCAAACACATTGTAACAACCATGCAGTTTTAATTCCCCCTTCCACAATTAATGTTTTTGGCATCCTATTCTACTTCTTTTTGTTTTGTGTATCTCTTAACTACTTACTGTGGATATAGATGATTTTACTACTTTTGTATTTTAACCTTCCTATGAGCTTTATATGTGGTTGGCCTACTACCAAACTATATGTTTACCTTTACTAGTGAGATTTTTCCTTGCATAATTTCCATATTTCTAGTTGTGGCCTTTTCTGCTTAGAGAAGTCCTTTGAACATTTCCTGTAAAGCTGGTTTAGTAGTCCTGAACCCTTCAGCTTTTGCTTGTTTGTAAAACTCTTTTTGTCTCTCATTCAAATCTGAATGATAGCCATGCTGTGTAGAGTATTTCTGGTTGTAGGATTTTTCGCTTTTATCATTTTGAATATATATAGTGCCACTCCTTTCTGGGCAGCAAAGTTTCTGCTGAAAGTCTGCTGATGGCGTTATGGGATTTCCCTTTTATGTAACTGGTGCTTTTCTTTTGCTGCTTTGAAGATTTTCTCTTTAATTTAAATTTATAATTTTTACCATTTTAATTATAATGTGTCTTGGTGTGGACCTCTTTGGGTTGATCTACTTTGAGACTCTCTTTATTCCCTGGACCTGGATACCTGTTTCCTTTCCCAGGTTAGAAAAGTTTTAAGCCATTATTCCTTCAAATAAGTTTGCTGCCCCTTTCTCCCTTCTCCTTCTATGATCTCTATAATGCAAATGTTGTTATACTTGATATTGTCCCAGAGATCTCTCTTAAACTATCTTCATTTTTTAAAATTCTTTTTTCTTTCAGTTGTTCTGAATTAGTGATTCCCACTACTCTGTCTTCCTGTTCACTAATCCATCTCTGTACCATCTAACCTACTGTTGATTCCTTCTAGTGTATTTTTAAAATTTCAGTTACTGTATTTTCAGCTCTGTTTGATTCTTCTTTATATTTTCTAACTCTTTGTCAAACTTCACACTGTGGTTCATTCACTCTTCTCCTGAATTCATTGACCATCTTTGTGATCATTACCTTGAACTCTTCATTGGGCAGATTGCTTATCTCCATTACACCTAGTTCCTCTTCTAGGGTTTTGTTTTATTCCTTCATTTGGAATATACTCCTCCATCTCCTCAGATTGCCTATTATTTATGTTTATTTCTGTGTATTAGGTAGATTGTTTATGGTTTCTGATCTTGGAGAAATGGCCTTATGAAGGAGACATCCTATGGGCCCCAGTTGCACACTCCCTTTTAGTCACCAGATCTGTATGCTCTAGGGGTGCCCCCTACGTGGGCTGCACGGGCCCTTCTGCTGTGGCAGGGATGACTTCGTGGATGCGCTGGTAGGTTGGGCTGGCTTCCAGCCCGGTTGGCTGCCAGCTCCTGCCCTGCGTGGTGACTGCCAGCCAGCTGGTGGGCAGGTCTGTGTCCTCATGTGGCAGGCTTCATGGCTGAGGATGTGTCTCAAGGCTGATCTTGGCTTACTGATAGGTGGGCCAGTTTCAAGGGCAGCTGGATGGGGGGCTCAAAAGGACCTGGGGCTGGTGCCAGCCCACTTGTGAGAGGGCAAGCCTCTGGCACTAATTGGCAAGCAGGAGGACTCCAAGATGGCACTTGCCAGCAGCAATGTCCTTCATGGATGCAGATCCCAAAAATGGCTGCAGCCAGTGTCTATGTCCCCAGTACGAGCAACAGTGGCCTCATGCCCTGCAGAAGGCTCTCTAAGGTTACAAAGGGGGTCTGACCCAGGCTCCTTTCAAATTACTGCCTCTGCACTGGGTCTTGGAGTGTGTGAGATTTTGTGTGAGCACTTTCTGAGCAGAGCCCATTCCCTATAGCCCTCTGGCTTTCTTGCACACAAGACTCACTGGCCTTCAAAGCCAGGCATCTGGGGACTTGTCTTCCTGCTGCAGGACCCTAGGGCTGGGGAGCATGATGTGGGGCTCAGACTCCTCACTCCTTGGGAAGAACCTCTGTAATTGTGTTTATCCTCCTGTTTGAGGTCACCTATCTGGGGTGTGGGTCCTGACTACACTTTGTCTCCACCCCTTCTTCCCATCTTGTTGTGTTTCCTTTTTTTATATATTTAGTTGTGTGAAATAGTTCCTGCTAGTCTTCAGGTCATTCTTACCTATAGTTGCTCCATAAATAGTTGCAACTTTGGTGTGCCTGTGGAAGCAGTTGAGCTCAGGGTCTTCCTATTCTGCCATCTTGGCTATATTGCTCCAAATTATCTTGCTTTTTATAACAGATATTTCAGAGCATTTCTGGCCATTTGTGCCATTAGGTTATGTTTAAGTCCGATAGTTGTAGGAACAAGGGAGCTAGAGAACTCTTCGTTTCCAGATAGTAGGATGAATGGAACAGGGAGGGTGTGCAGAACTATTAAAAAGTACAAAAGGTACTTTGGTAGATGTAGGAGAGTCCTCGAAATGGAGAACATAATATTATGAATAAAGGCTGAAATTTTCTTTTTGTAGGGATATGTCTTTGAAATTATAAAAACTATTAGAGAAGATACTTGCTTATATAAATATTTCCTTTATAGGCAAATTTTACATTAAATCATTCAATAAAACAAACCAGTATATTGACTTTATACTATCTTTTAGTCCAGTCTTCAAAGTGTTTGAGTTTACAAAACATTTATGAATAAAGTGATCTGACTTCCAGATCTGCTTTAAAACAATCCATTGGGTGGCATGGGATTGTGGGTAGAATGAGGAGCAGAAATGTACTAACCATTTTGGGTACATGGCATACATGAGGGTTCATTTTACTATTCTGTCTACTTTTGTATATGTTTAAAATTTTCATTAAAAAAAAAGGAACAAAACTCTTGGACTCACCACCATCAATGTCATCTCTTCCTTGAGGTCATCATATCGTTCTTCTAAGCGACTGAACTCATTCAGAAGGTTCTGATATCTCAGCCTTTCATCATTAAGATCAAGTTCCAGTTGTTTTGTTTCTTCTACTAGCTTCTTCTCCATAGTCTCTGAAAGAAAGGAGAGGGAAAAGCATACCAAAGATGGCTCCACAGAACACATGAGTACAAACATAGACACTGACTTTCAATTTCTCTGCAAGGAGTGCTACTCTGAGCACCACCGTGATCTGTGAAGTGTCTTAGTGGAGGCAGGTAAAGAGAAAATACCATAACCGAAAAATAAAATAATTTATTAATAACAACAACAATCATCTATTGAGTTCTTCCATGTACTACAGACTGAGTGCCACTAGTTCATTCACTGGTTACAGCACATCCTTGATAAACTTCCACTTGTCATCACCCAGTAACTAAAGTATATATATTTCATTCCAGTAGTATTGTTTCAGGTTATTCATAGAATTCTTTTGGCCAAATTAGTGTACTCTGTCAAAAAGTCAGAGATGTTCCTCAAGTCTCCGAGGGAGTGGTGACATTTCAGTGGACCTCGCTGTCCTACTCTGCAGAGTCTTCCCACTCACCTCATTCCCTGGGTTCTATCTTAGAATTTTCCAACACTGTGAACTCCCTCATTGTCCTATTACTCCCTTGATTCTCCCTCCTATGCCTGGTCCTCTGTGTTACTTCTCCTGTGTTGCTGGCGAACCTGATTTTTGCATTTACTCACCCCATCCTGCCCTCTCTGTTGCCAGGGGCTTGCACTTATATAGGACGTCATCTGGAGATTGGAGATTAGCCCCTGATTGCAGATCAAGCAAAGTAAAAGAGCCTTAAATCTCAGCTGTATGTTTTATCTCAATGAGCTGACCCAGTCACATTTATAAATACTAAGCTTCCTGCCACTATGGCCCATTTTACTCTCATATTTTGTGGCTATGTCTTAATCTGCCTTGCCTGCGTCTCTTGCTGCACCATTTCTTTCTCTGTCAGCTCCATGAGGTCAAGGGCTGCCAAGTGGCTTGTCACAACTGCCTCCCTGGTGCCCACCACAGTGTTTCCCTACCCTAGGGCTTTAATAACTTGTAAATAAATAAATGAAGAATTTTCTTCTCTGTATAACATTCCACAAGTTGCCTTTTACTCTCATCAGTTTGTAGAAGCTGCCTAAGGCTACCAACAAACTTTCCCTAGGCAAATCCACTGTTATTTTCTTTGTTCTTATCATTCAGTATCAAATAACATTTTCTATTTTCCTAGAAGAATTCTCATCATTCTGGAGTTTTCCATTGCATTTCTGCCTCCTAGCAGCCTTCCTTTCATGTCTTCAATGACTGTTCTCTCCTTCCCTCTTAATTTTCTTTTCTGGCTCCTTTTCTTCACCTTATCCCTTACTTATGGTCATCCTGTAAGGCTTAATTCCAGGTTCTCTTGTCTTTCCTCCATTGTATTCCCTTTAACTGGAAGGAAGGGGCAGGGTGGGGGAAAACACAGAGGACTCTCTCATTAATCTCAGTTTACTTTCAGACCACCTCTATCTGGAGGCCCTAGATGACATTCAAATTTTAACTCTAACAACTGATCTCACTAATTTGTCTCATAAACAGAGACATGTTTCCTTCAATTTCCTTATTACTAATAACACAATATTACTGTTTTGATAACTCATCTCAAAACTTTAGAAAATTTTTTCTCCTTTTTTGAATACATCAAAAATGATAACAATCTATTGATTCTTTTCACTCTTATCCATCTTCTCCTTTTCATTGCTGCCACCAAATACTGTAGTTTAGATATATCTTCTTATCCTGTGTTTCTGTATATGTTCATAAATTATCATCATTTTAATTTATCCTACAAATAGCAAATAAAGTAAATGTCCACATCTATTAGTGTCTTTTTTTAAGGTGGCAAAGAGTGATTGATCTTGAGGAAGTAATATTCATTGGTTTAGCAAAATAAATAATACATACAGATGCATATACTCATATACATATACATATACATATTAGCTCAAGAATTTGTCCTCAATCAACAGGATTCCTATAAGCCATAACTAATAAATCATATATACAGAATAATTAATTTTTTTAAAGTTACATACGATACTGACTAAACATGAATTCACATTTGTACATAAGGAGACCAGATTTACAAGTTCACCAACTAATTCAACCAAATATTTGGAGTGCTTGCCTCCTGGAACTCTGAAAATTTGCTGATGATAGCCTCAATTTTTAAAAATATATAAGCCCTAAGCAAAGTAGTAACTTATACACCTTTGGTCTGAGGTTGGCTGGAGCATAGTAGGTTGGGCCCACGTGAGCCTTACCTGTCATCTCCTTAGCCTGCTCCACAATGAGGTGATTGAGAGCCTCTTTTTCCTGCTTCAGCAAAGTATTTTCTTCCTTCAGATTGGATACCAGCTACAAAATGAAACAATATACTGAGGTGGCTGCCATAGACAGAGGGAGCCCGATGCTAAATACAAAGACCACACAGCTGTCACTTCTTCCTTCCACATCTCAATGTCTCACTTTTTTGCCTAGTTATGTCTAGCCACCCTCCAAACTTGGTTCGAGCATTACCCGCTCCAGGAAGCTTCCCTGGAATTCCCTCTAACTCCACGTCTCTCCTTTGGGCTACTACAGGACCCTGTATATGCCTCTTTATTGCCCTTATAAATGATTTACTTTTACTTCCTTGACAAGAAATTCCTGGAAGACAGAGATAATGCTGTTGTTGTTTTACTTTGTACCTTGAGTATTTAGCAATTGCCTGGCACCTAGTTAGCAGTTGCTCTTGAAGCAGTGATATGGTCTTCTCACCTCAACAGCATAACACAAAGTTTATGCGTACCCACGATTCAAGCAGAGAGATTACTGAGGTTAAGAAAAATATGAAAGGCATTTCAGTTCTGGAAACTCACTGAAGACCTCCTGAAGCTCCCTGCTCTCTGTCCTGAGAAAGAGAATTTCACTTTCATTTCCTTTTAAGAGTTTTGCTAGGTTGTAAATTAATCCTTTTATTCCACATTTAAGCAATGACCTTAAAACAATGTGAATAAACTTAATGCCACAGAACTGTAGACTTAAAAACATTTAAAATAGGAAATTTTATGTTACAAATAGGCATAGTTTAATCACTATTGAAAAAAAAGCATTGACCTTTAACTTTCTAGTTCCTGGTTGGATAAGGAGTCTCAGGAAGTAAAAATCAAAACCAAAGGTAACTTTGCAAAGCTCTAATTCATACAGCTCACCTGGATATAACGTGTGCTTGTTACAAAGTGAAATTTGAATTCCTTTCTCTAAGCACAAGTTCAAGGCACTCTTAAAGCAACTACTTTAGTAATAAAAAGAAAGTGTCAGGAGTTGAGAGACAGAGAAACAGGCTCCGTGATGAAAGAGCCCTGAAGCACAGGGAACTTAGATTACAGCACGGTGCCACAGCAGAAGTCAGGCAGGAGGTGTTCTCCGGACGGTCCAGTCTCTTCCCTCCGTACTGATACGGTCTCAACATCTGCTCTCAGCAGGAAGGCTGAGTTCACTGTGTGCTCTAGAGAGAAGCTACTCTTTGTCAGGGGTATGCAACTGATCACCTGTGGTGCTTTTCCAAAATACATGTATTTAGCCGACACTCCCAGAGCTTGGGTAGGTGTCTCTTAAAAAGCTCTCCAGCAGATTCTGATACACTCCTGGTTAAGAACCACAGTTCCAGTGGGCTTTCTAGGCTCCTTGATCAGGCTGATGGGCAGTGCAGCTTTCCTGACCATGATACTGGCTCTCATTCAGTGAAAATTTTTCATTCTTTCTCATTACCATAATCCATCTAAAAGGATTAATGGTACTGCCTACAGCTATCTGTAAGAAAGCAGAAGATAATAAGGTAAAAAGAAAGGAGAAATCTGAATCTGTTCGTGTATGCTACTCTATCTGACTAGAAAGGTATGAACTTGACTTTGAAGACGAAAAGAGAATATTTCCACCAAGCTTAAATATTCTAGTTTCAGAAAACTCTGGAAAGCTTCCAGGGACTCAGGAAATGGAAGAAAAAAAAAAGAGAGAGAGAGAGAGAAAGAGATATTAAACTTCAAAAATATCCCATTGGATGCATATATGAATTCTGATAGAACAAGCTTGCCATGTCAAAAGAATATATATTAACAGCACTGTTGTTTCCATATGCAGAGCCCAGATCTGCCAGAGATACAGGAGGGATTATTTCATCATGGTCCTGAAATCCATGGAAGGACTACAATTCTATTAGCTACACTATCCCACCTGAATTGTGTCTGAGCTCCTTCTGAGGTTCTCACTGTATATGCTGCTGCCAAGGTTCAGAAGTCAATAGAGAAAAAGCACACTGGGATTCTTGCCAGTAGTTACAGCCAACAGAGTCAACTCTGTTTTCTTTAAAGATGGCAATACTAGTGGAACCTCTGAAAATCTCTTACTTTTATCCAGTAAGCCTTATGTTGAAGTACTTTTATTTTGTTTAAATAATACATTTCATTACTGCCTGAGAACCTCACTGTTTTCTGGATTTAATAAAGTTTTGACATAAGTTAATACAAATTTGTAGTGTGGAAGCATCGATCAATCGGTAAGCATCTTGTTGTTGTTACTGTTCTATCTGCATAGCAGCTCTTGGCTATGATCAGTGTGCAGACATTGGATGTTTTCCTCTCAGACTTCTTAAAACAGACTTAATGCAGGTTTCCATAAAGATCTCTACAACCAGCTATTGACAGTTCATTGTTTGATTTACTTCTTTTTTTTTTAAATTTTTTTTGAGGGGAGAGGTAATCAGGTTTGTTTGTTTATTTATTTATTTACTTAATGGAGGTACTGGGAATTGAACGCCAGAACTTGTGCATGCTAAGCATGTGCTCTACCAATTGAGCTACACCCTCCCCTCCTGATTTACTTCTTAATCACATTAAACTTACTGAAGGAAAAAAGAGTGCACACTCCATCCAAATCTATGTATTCAAAGAAAAAAAGTGGATAGAAGGTTACTGGCCATTAATTCTCTCTTATAATAGTGCTTTCCCCTGTTCTTATCAGAGTCAAAAGGTTCTACTAAAAGACTCATACATCATATAGAAGAAACTCTTGGAGGAAACACTAATAATGAACAGTAATCAATCAAACCAATCAAAACCAATCAAAATATGTATTTTACTTTTGATTGACACCGACACTGAGCCACCGGGGCCAGGTCTAGATGACAGCACATTTTCTCTGTGAAAACAGTAGATGAGGATATGAACATTAGTTCCTACCTGCTCAGTTTCTTGTTTGTATCTATCAGCACGCTCCTCAATGGATTTTTTCTCTGACTGAGTTTGTTCCTAGGTCTTTCCGGAGCTTGGCAATTTCTTCCTGCAGACTGAGGACCCGCCCGGTGGCAATCTTAGCTTCTTCCTCACTTAACTGAAGACGTTCTAAGTCACTTCGTAGTTTCTCAGTCTCAGAGTTGTATATGCCTTCTAGATTGGTCAGTTTCTCCATGAGGCATTTGTAGTCTTTGTTCTTTAAATGCACACATAAGTAACAATAAGGATAGACGTCATCAAAGGTATTTAGTGAGAAAATCATGCCTATTCCTCATCTTCATAAGATATCATCATAGCACTGATACAGTATCTAACCAAAGTACCCCAACACTTAGAGTAACACAATCAGTACCTTTTTAAGTGATATAAAGAGAAAAGCAAACAGGCACAATTATTTCTGTTTCACATGATGAGCTACATGTGATTTTCTCACAGTTACATGGTGAGTTACCACAGTAAATTGTCTTTCCTGATTCTTAATCCAGAAATAGGAAAATCTATACTTGCTTTTAAAAACAAATCAGTGTGTATTGAAAGCCTTGTGCTAGCCAGTGATGCATCAGAATAATAAAATAGCCTCAAAACCACAAGTTCCTTTCAAATCTTCTTGTTTACCATCCCAAAACTCCTCCTCCCTCTCCAAAAGCCTTTCTGATGAATCCTATTTCATTCTGTTTTCTGTTTTTCTATGTCCTTCTTAGTATTTATGTATTACTAATAACCTATATATCATTTGCATGTGTAAAATATTCCTTAGTAATTATCTCTAAGAAATCAAACTTTTGTCTCTGCAAATAGACTGTAGATTCCTCAGAAGCATGGACATCTTCCTAATTCTTTTGCCATCTCAATGCTAAACAACTCATCTGCAAAAGGGACACTATAATATACGCAAATGAATGATAAAGATGAAAGAGCTTCGTAAAGTATAAAATACAATATGACTCTCAGTCCTAACAGTTTGGAGCGCTAGTAGATCTGGCTGTGTTCTCAAAAATTATTTTCTGCTATTAGTCCTTGCAATTATACTCTTGCCTATGAGCTCATCACTATTTCCACACTCCTTTCTACCATTATTACTTATCATTATTACTAAAGGGAGAGTCAAGAAGAGCCGATGCTGAAGATGACCCAGTGGATCTAGGCAAGCTGCACTTCCGGGGTTCCTGCTTTAAACACACCTGCTCGTCCACTTTGCGCTGCAGCTGCATGATCTTGTTCTCCATGCCGATGTGGAGCTTCTTGTAGCGCTCCACGGAGCGGGCCTCGATCTTCAGCTTCTTCAGCTCACGCTTGGCCATCATGCGCCGGAAGCAGCACTGCAGGTAGATGATGGCGTGCATGCTCCTCTTGTAGTAGGTGCGAGCCAGCCAGCCCCGGACCCACTTCTGAATGATGACTGCTTTGTGCTCACGGAGTATCTGCAGAGAAGGGTAAGCACAAGCAATGTCAGACCTGGGCCTAGACTCAGGTTCAACTCTGTCAACCTAAGGGTGTCAGGCTGAGAACCCACACATTACCAAAAGGGAAAGACACAAGAGTTGAAGCAACAATGTATTATGTGGACTGTACATATCACAAATCCATGCAGGCACAACATTACTTTAAAAAGTAATTGAAAAGTAGACTCTAAAAGGCAATTTGAGAAACATAGACAAATGTGTTATATTCACATGTTCTATGTCTGATTACACGTCTACGTATGATGATAAGCAGAGTATACAAGTAGAAGCTCTCCAAATAGAAAGTACCAGATCACTAGATGGAAAACAAGTCTAAAAAGAAAGAAAAAATGCATTCAGTGTCTTATTGGTGTATGATTTCTGTTAGACAGGTGACTCAATATAAAATGAACAGAACTTGGTAGCCTGTGAACTACGTGCTAGTGAAATAAGAGACTTACCCACAGACTTACAGCCGATACCACCTCAGTGTGCATTAGGTCTGTGCTTGAGGACATGGGGTATGGCCAGTAAGCAGGCTATAGAAGCCAACACTTGGGGTACTGCAAAGTTTATTACGGATTTACTGACTTTTTCCCCCAGAAACAACCAAAAAAAAAAATGACACTCTTAGTTGCCACATTTGAGGAATACAATTCTAGTGAGGATTTCTCATTGCTGTTTCAAATGTAGCAGGAATCCACTTACAGGATTCAAAGGTAGTGGGGATACAGCTTTAAAAGGAAAGCTAAAAGTAAGATGAAGTGAAGTAAACAAATTTTAATTTTGTATCGTATTTTCGTTAAAAAAAATTAATTTATAAACAACTTGTAACTATCAGATTGCCTTATGAGATAAATTTCTTGGTACTAATGACCATAAAGCAGAGACTGTGTAAACACTTTCCAGGAATGATGGAGAAGAAATTGTTGAGGGATTTTAAGAAAAGTTGAGCAAGCAAAACTTTGAGATCCTTTTGAGTCTATGATTTTATGAAATAACTCTTATATGATATGTGTTTAAGTGTATGCACTTGAAGTACTTATTTGTGATTATTACAAATGGACACAATTTATCTTTTATGAAACTTTTTAAACATAAAAATCTCTGAAATCATCTATTCAGATAGCTAGCAGTTTAGTAAAATCATTAAAAAAAACAGTTCCTATTTCCAGGTTATGTGCCTGAGAAAAACAATGAAAAGTGTGCCATTCTAGAGGATACAGTTAAGAAATAAGTGGTTATGTTTAAAACCATCACATACAAAATAAACACAGGTGTTTAGGAGACCTTAACAGTATCTTCAGCCAACTCAACGCTGCTTCTTTGAGCTCTTTTGCTAACACTAATGGGCTTTTAGTTTCCACTATGTGCAGTCACCGTGAATCATGCTGCAGTGAGGTGGGGCATCCGGAGCTCTCACCGAACATCACAATCCCTGAGGGAACCCCCTGTCTTATCTGGATGACCATTGACAAACTGGAGAAGACTCCATGATGTCAAACTGAAGGCTGTCAGAGTTTAAAGCTCAAGAAGTACACAGTGGCAAAGATACCAATGCCAATTTTTCTGTTTCATTTCCTTTTCCCCATGTAACTTCAGACCTTAGTCCACTTCTGAAATTTCAAACAAATGGAAGCAGTATATAATTAAAGCTTCCATTCTCAATCTCATTTCCATCAGACATTAAATAACACCTGTTCTCACATTAAGACTCTCAAAACCCATGAAGGGGAATCTTGGACTGGAAGCATAGCTAGAAGGGGCTCTAAAAGGGGTACTATTGGCCAATATTTGAGCTACCCTCTAACCTGCCACTCCTACTGTGTCCAGTCACAGTGGGAGCTGAGCTGGCCAGAGACTGTTACTGCTAAACCAATGGCTTCAAGACCCAATTTGAATGTTTCTGAAGAGAGTAGTGAGGAAAACCGGATGGTAACCAGTCTGGTGCAGCTAAAAAGCCAAGTTTAATAGGCTTTTCCCTCCCATGAAAGCTCATGCTTGCACAAGAACACCTGACTAAAGAGCAGGCATCAGCAGACAGAAAGACCTGGAGCAGCTGTCTTCACATTTCCCTCAAAATACAGCTATTAAGTAAACTCATTCAAGGCTCATTAGCTTTACATTTTTCTTTGTTTTTAAAAATTACTTCAAAATAAGAAAGTAAAATAAACATATGAACGGGGCCTAGGGCACATCCATGTATGGCCTGTGATTAGAGAAAAGTCACTCAAATCACTCTTTTGTTGCTCCTCCTAACAATCATGCCCACAGAGTGCCAAGATTATTTGTCAAAAACTTCTAGAGCATCATATTCCAGTCAATACAACTTTAATCACATTAATGTGTTTTATTTCATTTCTACCATAGTAAATTCTTCCAAGTTTCCTTCATTCTTAGAACAATCTTCTATCCATCTGTCATATATTTTACCTATTCAAAGCTAACCACAGTCGGCTCTATAAAGGCCCTCAATCCTAGGAATCTGTAAATGTCACCTTATTTGGGAAAAGGGTCTTTGCAGATATGATTAAGTTAAGGATCTTGAGATGGAGAGATTATCCTGGATTATCTGGGTAGGCCCTAAATTCACAAGTGTTCTCATAAGAGATGGACAAAAGAAGTGAAGCTAGACACACAGAGAAGATGATATGAAGCTGGAGGCAGAGACTAGAGTGATATGGTCACGAGAACTAGAAGAGGCAAGGAATGGATTCTCCCCTAGAGCTTCTGGAGGGAGTGCAGCCTTGCTGACACCTTGATTTTGGCCCAGAGATACCGATTTTGGCCTCTAGAACTTTAAGAAAATAAACTTCTGCTGTTTTAAGCTACCAAGTTGGTGGTAATTTATCACAGCAGTCATAGGAAACTAATACTCACTTTCCCCTCCCAAATTACATAGACAAGGGGAAGGAAAAGGCAAATTTTCTTTTTTCCATGTCTTGTTAATAAACATATGGTCATCTTTAATAGTCATATTTAATAGTTAAAAATATATTTCAGTTTTTGGTTGTCTCCATTGAGTCCTACATTCATAGGAGCCCCTGTGGTACTTTGTACAGACATGTACATTGATTAACATTAATGGGATGAATATACAAAGTCAAAAATAATGTCTCACCTTGCGATACCTATTTCTGGCCAAGTAGCCTCGCAAATAAGACTGAAGAACGATCGTTGCCGCCCGCTGGATCTTGTATCTCCTGCGGACTGCAAACATGCGCCAGTACTTCTGAATGGTGGTTGCTGCCTTGGTTCTGCGCAGGAACTTAGCATAGCTGACCAGAAAAAAAGAGTCGTGCATTGTCAGTAATCAGAAAAACCCAGAAACACATTTTGTAGCGACTTAAAGCACCGATCTTCAGTGTAATAAGTAGTACCTCCATTGCATTATTCTAATAACATACGTATTAAATCAACATTTATATTTCTTTAATTTGTACAGTTATTTAACAGTCCCCAAATATCTGTGCATTCATTACCTCATTTGAGCCTTCCCTAACCCTGAAAAGTAGGATGCCCCATATTACCCGATTTTACAATAAAGAAAGTGAAACTCATAAAGGTTTATTCTTTTGAGGGCTTGAGCTCATTACCGCAGGCTATGTCCCCTTTACATAGCAGACCAGCTTACACAGTCATCCCATACTTATCATCAGCTTTCTTAGACCTCTCCGTTGCTAATGTACGGTATTTTTCCTTTCTTTATCTTTATTCCTAATCTTTATCATTAATTCATGTCTTTTGATATTTCTAAATTAAAATTATCCTAATACATAATCACATTGAAGAGTAATTCTCTTCTATGCCTTCTCAGCTAATTGCTCCTGGAAACTCCTCAATAGAGTTATTAACTAGTCATATTCATGAGTATTTTAATTTACAAATGATTTCTTCAAGCGCATACAAACATAAAAATATAGGCGGTAATTTGTTATTTTTCTCTAGTTTGAATCTGAATCATTCATAAGGGTGAGTGAAATTTTATTCTATTTAACTGTCTTACGAAATAACTCCTTGTAACTAAGAAGACGGCCACTCAAAACCGTCCTAAGTTGTACAATAATCAGAAGAGCTCTCCAATCTCAGCAGCCTGTGAGCCAGAGAGGACGTGTCGCCAGGAAACCTACCAGCGGGCCTGGTGGCCTCGCACGTATCTCTGCACGGTGACGGCGGCCTTGCGCATGCGCAGGTACTTCTTCCGCAGCAGCCACCCTCGGATCGTCTTCTGGATCCGGATGCAGGCAGCCCGAAGCTTGTCTGCCCTCAGTTTTTCTAGATAGGCCACTTGACCCGCTCGGAAAAAGATCTTTGTCTTCCCAAACTGGTATTTGTCCTTGTCCTAGTTTTGGAAGAAACTGTATACTCAGAGGTAGAAATGATGACTATATAAACTAAATTTTGAAGAGAAAAAAATATCTATAAGCAGGCTCAGTAAAGGGAAGAATCTACTAGCTAAAACTTGGGCTACATCACAATTAACTAATGGAGCCAGCTTTTTGATCCTATGCAAGTTGAGCAAATAAAAGGGATTTAAGGAAAACTGCAGTTTAAGAGTTATTTTCCAGAATTATTCTACCTGGAATTATTATCTGAGGCCAAAAACTTGGTTGTGGGTTATAGGCAGCTATTATTTGCTTGTTTGTATTTTAAATATCTCAAGGAAATGGAGATGCTGACACTCCCTCTGACTGACCCAGGCTGTAAGGATTACATCAGGCTGTGTATTCCATGAGAAAGCTGAAGGGACAAAAACACCAGCATGAAGAAAAATGCAGGATGTAATTAATGCACACAAAATAAAAATTAAAAATTAAAAATCTTCCATATTCATGTTAAGAGTTAAGTTTCTCAACAGCTATCTCTTGGCTTTAACAACAGTAAATCCCTCTACAAATTTCGAAACTCCTTTTACAAAAATATAATCACTATAGTGCTCACTGATTTCTGATTATAAGCCAAGCTGAGCAGTAAACACAGATAAATATATATGCATGCTATTTTTGGTCTATTATATTCTGATCCATCTTATCTAGAAGCATGCATGTTATTAACCACCTCGTATCAAAAGAAGAGTGGAATTCATTTGTAATAATCAATACTGTGATCTGAAATTCTAAATGAAAACAGAGAAAATAACTTGTCACTGTAAGTAAATATTTCCTATCTTGTACATGAAGCCAGAAAATCAGAAATCTCCACATATTATCTAAAACTATTTCAGTTTAAATCAATGAACTTTACAAAGGAAGCTGGCTGGAAGAGCTAGAAGTGGTTCTCTCTTTCTGTTTCCTTCTCCCTGCCCCATCTCAGTGCCCCCAATCCCCCCACGCCAAGCCTGCACTCCTCTGCCTTGTGGCCCTGAGCCCAGACTGGAGCAGTCTGGGTGAGGAGGCTGGCAATGGGGACTGTCCCTACTTTCTGCTCTCTACTCCCTAGAAAGGAGTTGGGCCAAACTCAAAATATACCAGATTCTTCTACACATTACTAGGAAAGTGGCCTAAGCTCTTTCAAGGGAAAAAAAGGGTATTATTACCAAGGAAGAGATATTACATCTAGTTAACAGCTAGTAATTATGATGAATTACTTCAAAGTGAGATAATCCATCCAACTTAGTGTCAAGTAAGTTAAAATACTCTTTAAAATAAACTTTTCATGGATCTTAAATTTTCCAGGACCTACATCAGTGGTTCTCAAAGTATAGTCTTCAGACCAGCAACAGCATCACCTGGGAACTTGTTAGAAATGCAAATTACCGGGCCCATCCCAGACCTACTGAATCAGAAGTTCTGGGGGTGGGGCCCAGCAACCTGCATTTTAACAAGCCCTCCAGATGACTCTGATGCATTCTAAAGTTTGAGAATGCCTTAGCTTGGCATGCAAGACTCCCCAAACACCAGCCCACATTTCCTGGCCAATTTCCGACTATCCCATGGACCAATTTTTTACTGGGGAAAAAACAAAACAACAACAATAACAAACACTGTACTGTTTTCTAAGAAAACTCTATAATTATCTACTAAGACTTTAAGCTTACCCACTCTTCAGGGCCTGAATCAAAATACACATCTTCCATGAAAATGTTCCTTTCTCCACAGCAGATATGGCTTTGCCTTCCTCTGATTTCTTGTCTTACTCACTCAGTATTTGACAGACACTAAAGTATATTATATTTATCTTTAAAATGCATTAATTTCTAAGACACACTATGTTATGTGAGGACAAGGTTATTTTTTCTTAATCACACAGCATCTGGCCTGATGTCTTTCATAAGTAAGTATTCAGTAAATTTTTATTGATAATGATCAACCTTTGAAAAGAACATGTCTCAAATCTGGGTCCAGGCCCCACCATCCTGTTTCCTGATACTGGACCATCATCCTCACTAGTCCTACCTTGACCTCCAAGACAGTGTGCCCCTCCACCCTCCTGCCCTCAAATACTGTGCATTAGTGGCATTTGGATGTTCCTAGGACTTTCAGAGATAACAATCACAAGGCCTTTGGTCAATATCTGTTGAGATAAAGCTAAGTGGAAATGTTTCTTACCAGTATCAATTTCTCTAAAACATTTTTGCATGTTTGCTTTCTGTCACTTAGCACATCTTTTTGCTTCATTAGGACACGGTAGCGGCTGAAAAATTCTTGGTAAGTCCACCTATAAAAAGAAACTCATGTCAGCTTATTTAAAGAAGTAGGACCCCCCTACCCCCAATTATATGCCCTTATATTTGGAAACGGTGAACCCACCGAGAGGGGAAACCAGCTGCACTGATTCGGATGGTTTCCAGGACTCCGCATGCTCTCAGCTGCTGCACCGCTCTCTTCTCATCAAACCTACATACAAATGTAGAAGTCATTAATACACGAAGAAGCCTGCCTATAGCCTCAAACTACTCTTCTCAGTCCAGAGACTGAATTTTTTTTTTAAGAGCCGAGTGGATAAGCTTGAAAAAAAAAAGCATTCAAAAGTTGGAGATTTAAATGGAAAACTCCATGTAAGAGTAGGGAGGAGACCATTAGCAGTAAAAATAAATACCACAAACTCGTGAGAATTGTCTAACAAGAAGAACAAATTAAATATGGCCCATTTGGTTATTTTAAAAAGTTATTGGTGTTTTAAAAGCTATTCAATTCAGTGTATACATACTAAGCATTAATAGTGTCCACATCAATGAAAAATATTTTATATAATATATCATATATTTTATGTGTATTTCACCCTAGACAAATGCCACCACAGTATTAAACTGACACTAAAAGAGAAGCAGCAAGGTCTGCTTCTGACGGGAAGATCATTCCTCTTACTCCCCAGTTAAGCCCCGAGTGACCTATCCGAAGCTTCGGCTGTGCTGTCTTCCCAAGTGTTCTGTTGGGAGATGGGGTTGGCTGATGGAAGGTAATGGCCTTTAGGGCTGTCCAAGAGTGTGGCTCAGGGCGTGACAGCTTCTTCCTACTTCTCACATCCTCCAGAAAGGAGGCAATGAGAAGAGTATAACAGTGTTTCAGAAGTGCCCTGCAGTCTAGGAAAGAATCTCCAGTGGGCAAGAGAGGCAGAGTGTAGGTAATGAGTACTCATATTCTGTGGAGTGGGAGTTGCTACAACCTTTGGTAAATGTGCCTAATCTTGGACCCACAAACTCCATTTCTAGAAATACATTATTCTAAGGAGATAATCAGGCATATATACAAAAATGTTTGGCAAAAGGTGTTTATCATGGCCAAAGGAATAACCCAAATGGCTATCAATAGGGAATGATTTAAATGAATGTTGGTACATCTAGATAATGTAATAACAAGGTAGCCATTAAAATGATGATGTGGATTTGTAATTACTAACATGGAAAAGACCCACAATTTATTAAATTAAAAGCCGTTACAAAATGGCAATTACAGCATGATCCCTTTCCTTTTATTAATGTCTCTCACATACAAACACACTCAGAGCAGGAAAGGACTGATCAGGAAGGACCTACGCCAGTTAACACATATTATCTCTCTGGGTATAATGCAATTTCCCTTTACTTTTATACCATTTCATATTTTCTGAAAATTATTTTCACAACGTGCATGTGTTACTTTCAAAATTAGAGAAATATTTCCGTTTTGGGGAACAACCTTCTTCAATGCGTGCTATTTGATGTAGGATGAGATGTTTGATAAAAGCAGACATTCTCTGATGGTTTCAACAGTTGAAAAGGCAGCAAGGATAACTGTGAGTCTTTGCCAAAGCAACCTTATCTCACCCAGCTCTGGTTTTAACTGAAGCCCAAATTAACAAAAAAGATCTTGAAATGAAGTAAATTCAAAACAGAACACAGAACTAGAAATGTGTGGTTGACCTCAACTTTTAAAATTGTCAGAAGGCCAACTGCTTATTTGTTCTCACGTTCTCAAAAGGGAACAAAAACTGAAAAAATTCTATTAACTAGGAGCTTCCCTCTACAAGACTTGAAGATTTGTCTAAGTATTCTTTTTTCCCCCTTCTGTTGGTTTGGAAATCCTTATGAGAAATGGACACTTTTAATCCAGCAGTTGAGAAACACATACGTGAACGGGAACTTGAAGTCATTAGGCTTAATACAGCGCACATAGTGAGGGGTTGTGGCATTCAGGGTCTCCATAAGCAGATGAAGGGAGTTTCGGAACTGCATGAAAAAGATCAGAAAGGGGCACTGAAGTTTTGTCAAAGATGATGTAAAACAACTTAAAATTTTCTTCTAACGACACTAGTGCAGATGCCTCGCCACCTATGAACTGGACCAGCCCTCAAGAGAGGAGCTGCTTCTACATAAGAATGCTAGGGATTTCAGTTACAATTTGCTTGAACTCTACCATTTACATGCTCACTCTGCTAAATGTACATTCACGCTCCTCCAACTCCACCCCAACCCCTCTCTTAAAACAGACTTTATTTTCTTAGAGTAGTTTGAGGTTCAGAGCAAAACAGGACAGAGGATACAGAGGCTTCCCATATACCCCCTACCCTGACACAGGCATGGCCTCCCCCATTATCAACACTCCCCACCACAGTGGGACGTTTGTTACTTTTGATGAACCTACTCTGACACATCATCATCACCCAAAGCCCATCATTACATGAGAGCTCACTCTTCCACTACCTGCTGCCCTTTTAATGTAGACTTCTGTTGTGCACTTAAAATTTTCACCAAAAATATGACCTTGATTTAAGGATATTAAGGTCATTTACTCATGTACAGGGAGAGTGGTGCTATATGATACTGAAAAAAAGTAGCAGATGATTTAAAAGAGTATACGAATTAAGGGGGAGAATGGGAGAGTACAGCCAGGGTGGGGTGACCGTTAGGGCCCTGGGATCAGAATGGAGGCTGTGGACCTATGTCAGGTCCTGCTCCCTATCTGCACAGGGCATAGGGTCCCAAACACAGGAAAACAAGCTGACTAGTGCTCAGCCTCCTGTCCAAAGTCCCCAGCCCTTGTTCGGGCTCTGTGCACATGTGGCATGTTTCCCACTCCACCCGGTGCACAGGACATCAAAGATAGGAGAAGGCCCTGTTCCCGCGCTGAAGGAGCGGTACATACCAGAGAGGAAACAACCAGAGAACACCACAAAGGCGGCAGTGGGCTGTAAGGGAGGATATGCGCTAGAAGAATTAGGATGCAGAGAAAACGACCTTGGGAAAGGCTTAAGCAGAGTCACGGGTCTAAGTTAGGTGGGGAGAAGCATGAGTGGACGGTGTTCCACGTTCTCACCAAGCTCTAGCCTCTCCTCACCTGAGGACCCCACCGGGAAGGCTGACAAAGGAAGACCCGAGGCTTCAGCTGAGCCAGAGGGGAAGGAGCGCCGCAGCAGCGGCTCCCTGAGCTCACCTGGTGCCCCACCGTCTTCTTGTGCTCTTTGGCTGTCTGGCCTGGTCTGCCTTTGGTGGGCTTTATAGGAGTGCGGGTGAGGGGCATGCGCCCTGAAGAGGTGGCTGAGATTGGACTGATGGCCTTCTCGTCGTCTTGAAATAATTCTGGTAGCATCTTAAACTGAGTCAGAAACAGTGAAAGGAAATTAAACTCTAAACCCAAACTCAAAACATAACCCTTCATAGAAACATTATGATGATTTGCAATCCATAGTGATTCCTTTCCTTAAGTAACGCCTTTCAGAGTCAAATTTTAGAAACAATCAATAACTGTGTTAGGAGCCAAAAACATGAGAGAAAGGTGACATAATGCTACAAAAGATAGGTGGAAAAATGCAATAATTCTACAACCATGTTTGGGAGAAACAAAATCAAAACTAATCAACTAAGACTTGAACTCTTAATCCACAGGAAATAGCCACTCTAAACATTTTACTGATTTTAAACTATAATTATTTATTGAGCAAAATACTAATTGCAAGTCTTATTACCTCAGTTCCACAAAATGTTTCATCCTCATGCTTCATTTGTCTACCCACTAATTCAAATGGTGAGTCCCAGCTAAAAAAAATACCACTGGAAATCTCAGCAGGAAGCATGTTGTAAACTAGTTCTACAATATTATAAGATTTTAAAATAGTCATGAATTAGTAACTTTTAAAAAAAATTAAATTTTAGGAAAAAAAAGAAATAAACCCTGTCCTTGTCCTGTATACTCTGAATTTGTTTTCAAGGAATTTATAACTTGACTGCATAATTTCTGTAATCAATTTTGTGTTCTGCCAGGTTAGCAAAATAAAAGACTATTAAAAGATCTGGTAGTTAATAAATAGGTGGATGGTATTTGTCAATATGGTTGGAAGAAATTTTACAGAACAAAAGAGACTTCAGACAAATCAACAGGAACATCTTGATAATAAATACATATCTTTACAACAGGGCCACATTCCATATAAACAAAATATATCCTTCTTAGAAGTCAAATTAAAATTGCAATTACCAATTACTTGTCTAATAATCTCAGAATATCTGCAGAAAAGATAATTTTCTTAGGAGAGTAGTTTCATTAAAAAAACAAAATCAGTTTC